TCACCCCGTGGTGCCCTTATAAAACTCAACGTTTAACCTACTCACGCCGGCTTGTGCCCGCCCTCACAGTCGGGCATATTTGCGGAATACACCACGCCGCCGTTGACCCTGGCCATTGACCGAGCAACCCAACGTTCCTACCAGCTCCCTCCGCAGGAATGTGTTGCTGGACGTATACGGTCACATGTGCAAACGTGATTAGTAACGTTGATCATTACCTGTGTAGTATTGATAGTTCAATGTTAATGTGCCGTATTAATGAGGGACTACTGCTGTTGTGGTGTTATCTTGGTGTGGTCTGGGACTGTTGTTGTTTTTAAATCCTTTATATTAAGTTCGCTTGCTTGCTTGCTTGCGTGCTTGCGTGCTTGCTTGCTTGCTTACGACCGTGCAAATCTTTCGGTCGTTTTTTAACCCACTTCCCGTGATCCAATCGAGCTGACATTTTGCACACAGACTCGTTGTGCGAGACAATTAATGTTCGTGAAAATTTTTTCCAAAATTTTACACTGTTTAGGGAAAACAAATTAAATATTTAATTACCAATTGCTTAATACTGGCAGACAATCATCTGACCCATAGGTGACAGCCATCTCAAGCCAGAGGACGAGAGGACTCTAGCCGCCACGCATATAAAGGATTTATAGTGAAAAACGTTGTTTTTACGGGTTATACTTATTACTGCCTTACTCAATCTTGAAAAATCGTTCTTAAAACATGACTTATATATATTTAGTGATTTGCTCACCATTTTTTCTCTGTTTTGCACGCCCATCGTTTTTTTTTAGGGGTTTTGTTTGCAGTTGAAACTTTACTTACCCCCCCCCCCCCGTGCCCATAATTGAACATTTGTGAAAAAGAGGTTCATAGCTCATCGGATTCCTCCTCGTGCAGTCTAAAATAAAGATTCGGATTCTGAAAGAAACAACGAAAGTAGCTGTCTTTTTGTCATTTGGAGACTTTCAGTAATGAACCCCAACTTACCCTTGTTTTTTGTTACGTATGTACATGAAAAGTTGTTCCCTTAGCATTACAAGTTGCTGATTCAATCGCATTAATAAAATAGCAGGAGTTGTTTAATTAACTATATATTAATCTTACCCTAAATACGCACACTACAATGCAATTGCGTGAAACCAAACATGCATTATTTAACTCGTTGAAAAAATATTACTCGGGTGAACATCGACATGCAACACTGTGATATGCTGGCAAAAATGTCAAAGAGTTGTGGGTTTTTTTTTAGCACGCAGGTCCACTCAGTCTGCAAAGTATGTAATCCTTTTCGGATACCCACACTAATACTAAAGTAATTGGGGGGGGGGGGTGGGAATTATAGAGCAATGTTTGTGTTATACCACCAATCTCATTACACTTGCTTCATCTTCTGCCACCGTAAGATACGGACGGAGCCGTCACGTTCGCAGCGTTCGATCGTCTGTTGAGAAGAAAATTCGGTCGTACGTTGGAAAAAATGGACGGGGTATCTACAAATGGATCGCCCCTGTGCAGCAAAGCAAAATTGCTTTGTCAGTGTTACCCCCAAAAGATAATGCGATACGAATATCCACGTAAAACAAATACTTTTTTTTTTTTTACAAATGTAACAAAAAAAGGACATACTCTGTGTTCATACTCGGGCATTGTGAAACTCTGATCTTCGTTGAGAGCCAGTGGATGAGAAGAGAAGTACAAAAGAGGGATATTATGAATCACTGGGGTATCTATAAATGGATCGTCATGTACTGGATAACATTTATAAAGAATATACAACTAAAGCAGTGCTGTGTGAAAATCCGTAGACAAAACGCGTAGTTTCTCACGTTGAAGGATAAAGTCGGTGCTATTAATGCACCTTTTCTGCTGCCTCGATCGATATCTTACACGCCATTTGGCCGACCTTGACGTGAATTAAACGGCGCTGTCTGACCGCAGTGCTTTGCCTGAGGTCACAGGTCAAAGGCCACGTTTTAAAAATCTCACCGTTTCCAAAAGCGCTCGTATGAGTTCGCTAAGCTTGCCAATGCTTCAATCATCCCTGAAGCGTTAATATTCAAGATTGTTTTCTCTCTCACTTGGCATTATCGTCAAGTCATCCGGAATGTATTAAATTCCACAATATTTTTAGTTTGTTCTTTGATTCATATATACTTACAGCGTTGTGGTGATCTTCTGTTAAACGAAGCCTTCCCCATGACATGTTGGCCGTGCAGGTTGCTTCACCATACTTCACCATACTTTACCAGGCTGGTCAGTGCAGGTTAGTGAAGACCAATTCAGTTTTCACCCACCACCGATATTAGCTGTGGCCCGGATTTGAACCCAGGTCGCCGCGGTTTAAAGCGCAGTGCATCAACAACTACACCACCATGAACCCTATCCACCGCCTCCTCCTCCCCCGTTATGGAATATGACGTATATATTTGAGATAGTCTGTAAGATATTTGAATGAGTGTTGCCGAACGAACGGTTCCCAGGCTTGATGGAAATAGACTTAATTCTAGATTTGAAGTTTTCGTGGCTGCAAGGATCCATACTATTTGGTTATTTCGGTAAAGTCACGTAGGTAAAAAAAATAAAAATAAGAATGAAAATAAAAATAATCAAATTAAATCACGACGTTTCGGAAGCAACACAAGCTTCCGTCATCAGGTGGGACAACCGCAGCAAAAATAACAAAACATTGCCCAACTCGAGCATTGTGTTCGCACCAGCCGTGTCTCTACAGGAGCTTCCCCCCCCCTACTCCACACCCCCCGCCCCCTGCATCTCTCCTCCTTGGCTCTTACCCCCCTCTCTTACCTTATATAATCGCTTGTCACTAACAGCTCTCTTTGCCCACTACAGTAATTTTGTATTTTTTTTTGCTGTGGTTGTCCCACCTGATGACGGAAGCTTGTGTTGCTTCCGAAACGTCGTGATTTAATTAGATTATTTCAATTTTTTTAAAATTTTCACCTACGTGACTTTACCGAAAGAACCAAAGAGTATGGGAAAAGACCTGTAAAGCATGTATATATATATGTGCTAGCTTAGGTGAAGCTTTTGGCAACAAAGGTCAGTATCACGGTGTTAGCACGAGTGTCTCAATCTATAATGTCCTGGGCAGAGAGGCTCGCTTGCGTGTTGGCCGAGTGAACACTTCGTTTTGAGTGCGGAAGCTTCTTCAAGTCAATTTCGGCGTCATATTTTGTTGTCAAGTGCAATCGCGACGTCCGCTTCCCCCGCCACTCGCGCCAGCCGGCTTGAACTCTCCCCCCTCGACCGAAGAGTCGCGCTGCTGAGAGACGTTTTAAAATATTACACCGTTCTGTAAATCAGCGCGAGTCATTTGGCGCCACCAGTCACAATTAAATTGACTTTTCACTTGCCGTTTTATTCGGCATGCCAGGGTTGTTGTTTTTTTTGTCCGCGTAAAATGTCACCTCCGATGACATACAGCCTCATTTACACCTAAGCGTTGTTCGTCCCCGATGCGCCGACATATACCGAGCACTGCAGAAAGATAACCAATAACAGCTGCAACAGATTCCGAGCAGAGCTGTTGGAGAAGCATTCGTGATGTTTAATTAAAGACGGATGCCTAAGCGTAACAGGACCAACTGCAGCAAAAGTGTCGGGTGACACGTAGGCCTTTAAGGATTAGATCCCCAAACGATTTGATGAATTGCCTTCGTTCAGGAATGTATTTTTTAAATGTTTTGGTCGTTGGCAAACGGTAGCACCTCTGCTTTCTGGGTTTATATGAATCCACGACGTGCAACATGCAAAAAGACGTCGATTCCTACTCGCGAAATTTGTTGCGTGTATCATGAACACAATACATTGATGCACCGTTATACCTCTCGTAGAGTTGTTCTTAACCTTTACGGCAGCATTCTCAATCGTTAAAAAAATTATAATGTTAAAAAATACTTACGGGCCCGTGCTTGATTTGTGTTTTCGATTATTTGCCTTCTAAAGAAATCTGGCCGTGTCTCGCAACCTCAGAAAGGGCATCTCGCACCTCCCCCCCATGGGGTGCGTGCACCCCAGGTTAAGAACCACTGCTCGAGGCACACATTTGCACTGCTTATGACCAGTCTGCAGCTTAAATGGCATGCACCATGCCCCCAGTGCTTATGATGATACCAGGTACTCATTTAAGTCTGAGGTCGATCTAGCTGAGACTCACGACTCGTTCAGATGCAACCCGCCACTGATCTCGGTCGTAGCCGCAAGTTTTCACTCGGGCTGCCGGGTTCGTGGTGTAGCATGCTAACCACTGCACCACTCCACCACTGCCCGTCACGTGCTGACACACACAAACAAACAAAGATCCCCCATATAGCCATACCAGACTGTTGGAGCAAGTGCTATTAGTGAGTACCTATAAAGGCCGGCACGGCACACGAGGGTGTGGATGGCCAAAACCACGCTCGGCTGTCTTTGTCTCCCCAGTGGCGATGTTTACACATCATACTTGGTACAGGACCGGTTCAGATAATCACCACTGTTATTGTCTGTGCGTGGGAATCGAACTCGGGGTGCCGAGTTCGTAGCGCAGCACGCTAACCGTTGCACTACCGCTCCCCACAAAAATACAAAACCAAAAAGATTCTTGGGGCAAGTGCTGTTCGTGAGCACCTACGAAAGCAGGAAGGGTACACGAGGGGATGGGTAGCCAGCACCGTGCCCGAACACAAACAAAGACACACACACACACGCCTCGAATGTGTTTATTTTTCTCAAGGCAAGATTTCGAATTCTACATTTTAACGTTAAGCACGAGCGCGAAAACCTCCGCTGTCGTTGTTGTTGTCCTCAGACTTGTGGGCAACAATGTACTCGCAATAGAGCTCTGTAGCAGTCCCCCCCCCCCCCCCGCCCGCAGGGGTTGATGCCCGCTGTCGTACCGTACCGCGAGACCCGGTGCCCGTTCATGACCCCGCGGTGATGCCCGCTGTCGTACCGCGAGACCCGGTGCCCGTTCATGACCCTGCGGTTGTTGCCGCCTACAGATTACATGCATCCGTCCTCGCTGCAGTGTCGGCTGGTGCAGCAGCAGCATCATCACCATCAGCATTCGCTCCCCGACATCCCAGCCAGTCCCCCCGAAGACGTCGACTCCTCGCCAGGCCCCGCGAGCCAAGACTTCGGGGGAATGCCGACGGGGTTGCCACACTTCCCCGACTACTCGTCTGTAATCTCGGCCGACAGCTTCCTTAGAAAGTAAGTGGATGCCCCCCCCCCCCCCCTCCGTCGCAAGTAGCAGGCCACCAGGCAGAGGTCGCAACCGGGTACCCGATACCCGTACCCTACCCGATACCCGGCTACCCGTACCCGGCCGAGTACGGGTACCCGTTTGCGACCCTGGTGCGGCCGGGTACGGGTAGGCCGTGAGTCACTGGTGAGTCACCGTTTGTCACTCATTTCCCAACGTCTTGTCTCTTCTCACAATTCAAGTTCCTAGAATCAACCCATCCGCGCCTGCAACATGGCTTCATCCCAGAGGTCGCAATCGGGTACCCGATACCCGTACCCTACCCGTACCCGGCCGGGTACAGGTAGCCGGGTATCGGGTAGGGTACGGGTGCCCATTTGCGACCCTGGTGCGGCCGGGTACGGGTACGGAATCAAAACCCGTTTGCGACCTCTGCCGCCGGGACAATGCTGCGGCCGTGACGTAGCTTGATGGCGAGTGTCACGAATATTTGTGGTGCGTGGCGATACATTCAGGGGGTGAATGTCGAGGTCTGCAAGGCACGAGAGGGCTTCAGGTTGGGTGTTCGTGTGGTCTTGCTCTTCCTTCATTGAAGGAGCACAGACTATACACTGGTTTACGAAGCGGTTGCCAGCATTCAGGCAGCTGGAAAGGCGAGCGGTGAACGTACCAGTCCCTGCACTCACGTCTACAAAGTTGACGATTTGTGTTTGTGTTTGTATGTTGAACTTCTTTGCATCGTACATAGCCAACCGTGCTAATAGGAGGTGTGATTTAATCCCCGTCTGCCGGTCAGTCGTTCTTACAGAAACTTGTCAAAGTAATTGTATTTAATCTTGATTTGAAGCTTTCGTGACTGCAGGAATCCATACTCTTTGGTTCTTTCGGTAAAGTCACGTGGGTAGAAAAAATAATAGATCACGACGTTTCGGTCGCAACAACAAGCCTGACACTGACCATGTAGAAAGAAAAACATCCAATGTTCTTCTCACAAACACGCACTCGTGATGTGCGACAACTACGCCACATCATCGACAAGGCTGAGAGCATTGTGCCTGTAATGTGGTGGTCACGTGACATGCATGCAAAGCATCCTGGGAGTCGTTCTTTCCTCCCCGTTGTGTGAGCAGCGCACCTTTTTTCGCTTGTCCTTAAAACTATTTTCAGCCTGCACGTGTGTGCACTCTCCTGTTTTTGTGATGTGTTTTATCATCATTTTAAAGAAAGTGTGGGGATTCGAACGAATGCCCATGTTTGTGTTTTTTTGTCTTTTGTCCCAAATATATAAGTGGGGAGCGGTAGTGTACTGGTTAGTGCGCTACACTACGAACCTGACGACCCGGGTTCGATTCCTGCTCACGGCCAACACCAGTGATGAATATCTGAACCGGTCCTGGGCCTCCCCTAGGTTAACTCAGCCTCAAATGAGTACCTATTGTGATGTGTAAACATCGCAACTGGGAAAGACAAATGTGGCCGGGCGTGGTGCTGGCCACCCCACCCCCTTGTGGGCCGTGCCTGCCCCAACAGTTTGTTCAGGCTATACAGGGGAGCTTTGCTTTGTCTTTGTCCAAAATAAAATTCCCCCAAAATAAAGCCAAAAAAAGTAAATAATTTAACAATTTACCGCCATGGATGAAGGCCTTCCCACGCTTTGTCAGCCACGCTTTGTCAGTAATGAGGGGTGTCTGACGGAACGCTACCATGCCGGTGGTTGCGGGGGTGGTGATGAAATGGGAGACTCAGTGATCTGTTAAGATGTCACTCGCCACTGATGTGAGCCGTGTCCAGGATCGAACTCTGGACGCTGGGTTCACAGCACAGAGCGGTAACTTGACCCCCTCTCTCTAATCATCATCCTCATTAGCCATGATTAATTCACTGCTGGATGGTCTCCTTAACCCAATTCCCATGATGTACGTATGTGTACGTCATGGGAACGGAACCGGAAGGAAAAAAAACACTTTTTCGGTACCGAGGCTCCCACAAGGCCATGCGGGAGGGCGTGTGTGCACAGTTTGGCGCCAGCTATCGGAGAGTGCGGTTGTGTCGCTGCGGTTCTCTACGGTGAGTAACAATGTCTTTAAAAACAACGGCGCTACCACGCCTCTCTGAATAAAATTAACGCTGACCCGCTTGCGCGTTCCAAGATTCAGCAGTGAACGGAACACCCACCCTGCAACCTGCAGCCGTCTTAGAACAGGAAAGGTTTAAGCTGTTTCTATCATGGGCGTGCGATGTAAGAGTTCGTCTCGCACCTGCACACGAACGGATTTCACTGCTCCATCTCCCGGGTGTATGTCCTCTCTGGAGCATTCCTACGCTCGACTACTGCTCCGTCGTTAATCTTGACCTTTGGCCGTCATCACGAGTGGCCTGCCCTGCCCAAGCCTCACTTATTTTTTCTTAACAGTCGAATGCAAATCTTTAACCTGTTGTGTTCTAATATATGCGTGTTGAACTTCTTTTCCACCATACGTAGCCAACCGTGCTAATCGGAGGTCCGGGGCAAGGACAACAAACTAAACATGGAAAGCAGTTTTAAAGATATTAGTTTTCAATCGAGATTTAAAAGGGCATAGCTCCGGTGTCTTCCAAATATAGCAAAGGAAGAGCGTTCCAGACGGCCGTGGACGCGCATCTGAAAGTGCATGATGCGGTGACCGTCTTTGTTCGATGGCAAGCCAAATCCATGTGTTTCTTTTTTCTGTCTCTCAATAAAATTCGAAGCATGCATCTCACCACGCTAAGTTGCACATTGTTCACTTTTCATTGCATGTTTTACGTTGGAATATTGTATATGCAACAGGTGCATTAACCAGTATTATAAAATTGCAGCAGCTCCAATTACGTCTGGAATAGCCAGTACTATGGTCAGTTGCCTGAATATCAATATATATTGTTTGTCATTTTTATTTCATCTGGCCCTTGGCAATTTAATACCAGTAAATGCAACCATACATTTGCCACCAGGCTGCGGTTTATTGTTTATACTTTGTACAACAAGACTTTAAAACCAATTTCTGAGATTGCAGTGTTATGACCGTATTAATAGCATTGGGGGAGAATTGTGAATAACCATGAAAAAAATTCAATTGGTATTTTTTTTACGTATCTAATAAATGTGTTAACTTCCCTCTTGAGAGCAACCATGCAATGTGTGCGATATCAAATACTGTGCTTCGAACGCCCTTTGATGGATCAAGCGGAGACCACCTGCTTGTACTGCCTACGTTGGCAGTACAGCAAGTAGGAAACTGCCTTGCAATGTGTGTGTGCCATTCTACGAGTGCTCTCTGCATCGCCCAGATCTAACGCCCGTGCATAATAATTGGTAAACCCTTGCAATAAAGGGAATGCAGGTCGTGAGCCTACTTTTATTGGCCATTTTGTGATTCTAATTATTGTTCCTGTTGCTGCCTCTGTTGTTGTTATTTTTTGCTGGTGTTATTCAAAATTCAGCAGATATCTTTCCGGGGCCACTGTGAATCACTTTGGTCAGAGTGCATCTCTTTGCCCGACTCTTAGTCGGATTTGTCTTTCGTTATTCCCCTGTGCAACCTCAGTGCAGTTGTTCCACCCTAATGATTTCCATGTGTGTTTGCTTAACGCCTGCCTTTGTCTGCAGAAAAGCTTGGATGACCGAATCAGTTTCCACGGAGCCAAATTCCTTTTCACATTCTGCAAAAGCCAGGCACAATGGCGTTACGCCATTCATTTGTCTTTCCTGCAATAAGATCGACAGTGCGCATGTGGTCAATGGCAGATGCACGATTTTTCTGAAACCAGCTCGCTCCTATGGTGCATTCATTCTATCTCACAACCTCCGACATGCCTCAGGCGGCTCCTTGCCCATGTCTAGCCGGTCGTCTCTCGAACCAGGAGAGGCGAGCGTCATGCCTCTATCGCATCTCCACTCTCTCTGTCATGTCTCCATGAAGATCGAAATGCATTGTCGTTAGAAGGGTGTGTTAAAAGCCCTTATTTCTAATTAATATTTTTTAAAGTTCATTACAGTCGCCCATATGAATTTGCGTATCATAGCAGACAGTATTCGTTCAAATAATTTACGCCACGTCCACAATTTTGCCAGGAACGTTGGTTGCACCGTGAAAATGCGATTGTATTCGTCGATTCATTGTTTGTTTTTGCGTACGACCAAATCGCCCAACATATACCCGATCTCGCCAGATCTCGGAAAGCTAAGCCGGCTCGAGCCTGGATAGAGGCATGGCGGGGCCCTCATCCAGCAGTGGATTGACTAAGAGGAGCGTGGATGTGAACGCTGGTTTTCTGCACGCGCGGAAATTTATAGCTTCACATCGGTCGCCCGTTTAAACTTCACAGTTTTCATATTTTGTCCGTTGGGAGATCGTCACACGCCTTGCCTGCTTCACTCGAGCTTTATTGCCCGCAGCAAATTTTCTACGAACGTGCGCTATGAAATCACGCCTATTGCTCATTCAATCTCTGACAGACATAACGACCACAGAACTCTGGGAATTGTGTCATCATATATAGAAAATGCGATGTGGGAATTGCATATTTTTTTCTCCATACGCGCGCAAGCGATGTGTTTTTATCAGGTACTAGCTTTACTTACCCGGCTTCGCCCAGGACTTGGATTCTTGTCTTGGATTAACACACGGCCGGCGAGGAGGGTGGGGGGGGGATGCGTGACGTCAGCAGGCACACTGCGTGACGCTGCCGCGTGCCGGTGACATCACAGATGTGACGTCGCCGCTCACTTGCCGTGCAATATCTGCATTATTGTGCCCCCCCCTCCCATAATACAAAAGTCTAATTTTATACTTTTTGCATTGTGTACAGTCTGGAAACTACCCACATGCTAAATTTCAAGTTTGTTGCATGTCGGGAAGTATGCTAAACATTTCGAACAGACACACATATTCAACCTAAGAGTACACATATTCACACATTTCCCTTTTATATACATATAGATACAGGGTTGGCGCTTCCTCTGCCTCGAGTGCCTTGGACTCGTCATCTCTCTCACTCCACTGTTCCCCAAGCTTGGCTCCATTCGATTAAAACTTTTAAAACTATACATTTTTTATTTTACCAGGTAAGGCCCGACTTTTTCATACGCGATCTGGCCAAAGACAATGCAGTTTCAAAAACAATGCATATGTTATATAGTTATTGGAGCAGGCTTGTTTGTATGTATGTAGGATTAATGCAGACTTCATGTCTTGCAAAAGGTATCTATTTTGTGTTTGACCATCTTAACACCTGTTTTATTGCCAAAAATGGTCAAGCCTATTCTTTTTATTTTCATCATAAACAAACTAACTATTTATAACCAAACTCTTTGGTTCTTTCGGTAAAGTCACGTCGGTATAAAATAAAATAAATCACGACGTTTCGGGCGCAACACAAGCGTCTATCATCAGGTGGGAAAGCATGGTCTGCTGCTGAGGCAGACTGTTTAAAAATGTTTGAAATGGGTGTAGCTCAAGGGTTATAAAGAGGTGGCCGGGGCTAGTGATGTTAATGTGAGAAATTAGCGTGTAACTGTAAGATAGGAGAGCGGCCTCCTCGACGATGGCACGGAAGTGGCTATGTTAATGCGAGAGATTATCATGATGTTAATGTGAGAAATTAGAGGGTACGGAAGTGGCAGTGTTAATGTGAGAGATTAGCATGATGTTAATGTGAGAAATTCGAGGGCACGGAAGTGGCTATGTTAATGTGAGAGATTAGCGTGATGTTAATGTGAGAAATTAGAAGGCACGGAAGTGGCTATGTTAATGTGAGAGATTAGCGTGATGTTAATGTGAGAGATTGGCATGTAACTGTAGAAAAGAAGGTGAAGAAGAGCGGCCTCCTCGACGAGGGAGTGCAACCCAACGGGTGTAATCCGAAGGGCCTGTGAGTTTGAGAGTGCAATACAAAAGACATGTGAGCATGAGAGGGCAATCCGAAGGCACGAGAGTGCAATTCAACGGACATGTGAGCATGAGAGATCTAAGAGAGAGACATGGAGACACAGAGTTGAAATAACAGCTGACATATGCATGTAATACCCACTGGGCTATATAGCTCTTTTTCAGAAGCGATCAGGCCACAAATGATCACTCAAGGAAGTGGCTTATCACGTGTGAATGTATTGCAGCCAAATACCCGAAACACATTTCGATTCTAAATGTGGAAGGAAAAACCAGAGGGGCGCGAGAAAAATCCACGCGACCTTAACGAGAACATGCAAACTCCAAATATGCCGCAGGCATCGGGGTCGGGATCCAGCTCACGACCTCTTGCACACCAGGCGAGGTGGTTAACATCTCGCCACCATGGCACCCGATTACAAATTGTCGCTCACGTTTCCGCACACTTGAAACACGCGCTCACGACTGCACACACGCACGCACGTACCACAGGCACGCACCCCCGAAAACCATGACAGCTGAATTATCTTCGTGCTTTCATATTGGTAGAGACACACACAACACATGGCGTTTTGCCAAGTACCCTACGTGTAACGGTGGACTTAAGTCGGATATGTGCCCGTCTGTTCAGTCGCATGTGTGCTTGTCCTGGTCGCGTTCAGAAAGGTTTTTTTTTGCACGCGGCGAAAACGCTTTGACACTAACGCAAGGCTTTGCTTATGTATTTATTTATTATTTCGCGAAGCCTCTGTTCAATAATGCAGTGGCCTGATGCCTCCGTTCTGGATTTGTCTCCCCCCCCCCCCCTTCTCTCTGTAGTCATAATCCAAAAGGACCTGTCTCTCTGGAGCAGCAGATAGCGAGCTCGCTGAAACCGAGGGAAGAGCTGGAAGATGATGGTAAGAAAACACGTGCTTTGCTGAACATTTACTTGTATTTGAGGGGATCACAAAGACAAAGATCCCCCCCAGAAAGCATTAACAGGCTGTTGGGGCAAGTGCTGTTGGTGAGTAGCACCTATGAAGATGCGTCACGGCACACAAGGGGGTGAGTGGCCAAGACCACGTCCCGGCCGCCTTTGTCTCCCCAGTGGCGATGTTTACACACTGCACCAGGTACTTATTTTAGGCTGAGTCGACCTAGGGGAGGCCGAGGACCAGTTCAGATAAGTCACTGGTGTCGGTGGCCATGAGCGGGAATTGAATCCGGGTTGTCAGGTTCGTAGCGCAGCGCGTTAACCGCCACTATACTACCGCTCACCAACACATTTGAGAGGATTACACACACGCGCGCACACACACGCACACGCGCACACCGAGACGTCTGGTCAATGAGCTTTACGTTTGCAGTTGACGTGAAAGGCGGTACGCCATGTCTGAGCCGTGGCCTCGGGAGACGATAGCGGGTTGGCATGTCAGAAGGACAATGATCCGTCCTCTCAAAAAATCACGACAACTGCTGTCCTTGAGCTTGCTTGCATTTTGAGGCATATAAGCGTACTTCGTCCTGCTTTTTGTCTTATTGAGCCGGCCTTCGTTTAGTTTTTTTTTTTTGCTTTGGTCACGTGCGGATGTGCCCCATCGATGGCCCGCGATGGTGGACACCCAGAACATAGCGTGTATAATAGAACGACTCGGGTTGCCTGATTCGCAAATGCGAAGGAGCGGGGGAGGTGTCATCATGAACAGCCGTGAAACACCGCTCCGCGACTTGTGCAGTACAATTGTTTGGCTCGACCACCTCAAGCTAAAATTATTATTGCTGCTCTCCACATCAACATCAGCCATACGAAGAAGAAGACTGTAAAACAGCACGCGCTGTATCGTTGCAAAAACACATCGGAGAGCTGTACTAAAGTCGATACTAAATATACCTTTCAAAACATAACATTGTATAATAATGGGTTTTTGCGGGATGTAACGTGTGCTGTTTGGCACGACGACCGGCACTTCGCTCTGCTGACTGACTATAAAATACTCAGCTCCTACGGGGAGTAGCACAGGCGTCAAACAACGCGTTGTACGACCCACGGACACAACGTGTGGTACGACCCATGAACACAACGCGTGGTATGACCCATGAACACAACGCGTGGCGGTATGACCCATGAACACAACGGGTAAAGGCCCTGTAAAGCACGACCACATAAAACCGACGCAGCGGTGATTGTGGAGGCGCACGACATACAGCACTGGATGATAGCATGGTGTCGATGGAGGAACAGAGCGTAAATAAAGGAGAGCTGAATAAATATGTACATTTGCATAAGCACAGCCCAAATATTTACTTGTTAAATCATTGACTGAAACAAACATGATTACCATTTTAGTCGAAAAAAATAGTGTTACGTAATTATCGGTCGAGAAATTGGAATTGTGTTTTGCTGTTATAAATTTGAAACAAAATTATAGGCAGAATATAAACAATTGCATAACGCGGAGTTATTCGTTTACAAAATCGCGAAATAATTTGGCTAAATGTAATAAAACCGCGCACTTGCCACTTGCATGATTTCCCGTGCGGCGCAAAGGCGATGGACGACGTTGACGCGTTTCACACGAGGGTACAGTCCTGCCAGCGGAGATTACGGGCTCGCAAGATCCGAGTGGCATCCCAGGTTACGCAAAAAACTAAATACGTCATGGGACCATCGTTGCCAGGAACAAAATTTGAGAATAAGTTTTTCCCCTTTTTTATGGCAACAAAACAGCTGTGTTAAGTCGTTCAAACACCAAACTGAAACCTTTTACGAGGAATCATGTCTGCATTAACCACAATGCTTGTGGTGAAAATGCAAACAAAAAAATACTCTGATAATCTTCTTGGTTCTTTCGGTAAAGTCACATAGAAGGGAAATAATAAAAATAAAACATGATAAAATAATTCTCATGACGTTTCGGCCACAACGCAAGCAGCCGTCCTCAGGTGAAGAACAGCTCTGTCGGAAAGACAGCGTCTGAATGAACACCACCACGCTTGGCAGCGTATATTTAAGCTGGGTTGGAGAGGGAAGAGCGCCTTGACAAATGCATTTGCATATCAAGAGGAATTTAGCATATTTATGGGAAATGCAGAAGATGAATCCCTGCAGTCACGAAAGCTTTAAATCGAAATATATACTCTGATAACATATGCATTGTCTTTGAAACTGATTGCTCCACACCAGAGACCGCTTTCTTTTGACGCCTCGTCTCGAACGGTGTTAGACCAGAGGACGCCATTGCAAAACGTCCCAAGCGAGCCGCTCGTGGCGGACTGCGAGCACCGCTGTCCGTGCGGGACGACGTGGAGCTCGGCCTCCGTGACCCCGCAGAGCACTTTGGGAATAACGCCGACTGACCCCACTCCGTTCCGGCCGTGTTTCACGCGTCGCACGTACCTGCCCGCGGCCAGTCGTTATCTTTTTTTTTGTCCCCAATGCACCGACCGCTGTAAACAATCATAATAAAAGAGTTTCTGTTTATAATGCACCATTATTCCAAAGACTCTGAGGGACACTTGCTAGTTTATTAGTTAATTTGAACATAATCTGTATGCTCTTTGGTTCTTTCGGTAAAGTCACATGGAAAGAAATAAAATAATAATAGAATACGACCATCATCAGGTACAGATGAATTATTATTTTATTTTATTTCTTCTAACGTGACTTTACCGAAAGAACCAAAGAGTAATTCCTGCAGTCACGAAAGCTTCGAATCTAGTTTGAATCTGTGCGCTGCTCAGACAATAAGTGTTTGACAGTCTTTGTTGACACTCTTCGGAGGTGCGGTGGGCCCCAAGGTGATAGCCACGAGCCGAGTGAGCTCCGGACGACTGGCGGAGAGACACCGCACCGCTCGCCACTCCAAGGACGGAGTGGCTTTGAAGCGAGTCTGTTGCCCTCATGTTGTTTGGTGCGACGCGGTGGAGCGATGTTAACTACCTCACCGGGTATGCAGGAGGTCGTGGGGTTCAATCCCCGGCCCGCCCCCCCCCGACGCCTGCTGTATATTTGGAGTTTGTGGTGTGTCTCTCTCTCTGTCCGCCATGGTCGCGTGGATTTTTTTCTTCGAGTCCCCCGGTTTTTCCACCTCCACATTAGAATCGACATCACGCGTTTAGAGTGTTTGGCTGCTATAAATGTCCACGTGATCAGCCACTTCGTTGAGCTATCGTTCGTGGCCAGGTTGCTTCTGAAAAAAAGCTACATAGCTTAGTGGGCCTTACCTGGTAGAATAAACATTTGTATAACTTTACCAGTGTGGTGATGTACAGTTCAACAACCCCCATCATCTTAATGGCAGAGGATGGGGTGTTGGTAGTCTCATCCAGCAGTGGATTGATGAAAGAGCTGTACGTGTACGTATCTTAAATTGCTTCGTATATACAAAGTTACGTGCATTCAGAATGCACATAGGCCAAGTTTAAACTGTGCCCTTGCTATAAATATTGATGTTTAGTTTCATGTGCCAAGTATTCTGTGTTCCTGACGATGCTGCAACGCTTGTCCAAGGCAAATTAACGAGCAGAGTTAGAGACTTTATAACTGTCCCATTTTTGAATCGCAGTCATTATTCATTTCCATAGCACGATACAATTTTTTTTTGTCAACTGAGCCCAGTACAGCACCACGAACCCAGACATTCCGTCCATTGGGAGGGCACATGTTTACACCGATGATAAAGTTACCCGTTCCTTAAACTGCCGTAGACATTTGTAGACTTTTCTATTAATTTCTTTACTTATTCACGTATCCACCGCCACGGGGGATATAATATGGATCCGATTCAAACCAGCCATTCCGTGCCATTTGCACCGGTGTTTCTGGCCGTGAAATATCGATGCAGGCTTCAGCCCGACTCTGTCGATTCTGCTTTGGAAACCGCACAGGAGCTTGGCTGAGACAAAAAACGGTAGTTTTGGCCCTCGCTCGTCCAGACACGGCCACCAATTACCCGATCCCGTTTTTTTGGCCAATTTACGTGAAAGCGAGTTTTCTCAAAGCTATTTTTAACAACGCCCTGTCAAAGCAAACCACCAGCTGTATCGATAGCTTTCGTGCCTCATCCTGCTACCAAGGAAACCGCAGGCGTAATGGCATCGTTTCGTTTGTTGTTGTTGTTGTTGTCGTCCGCGCACCTTGCAAAAAAACGTCTTTCCTACCTGCGGTGTTTGTCACGCTAGCCAATGGCTCTGAACCCACAGTGCAGATGTCTGTCGCCATAGTAACCTGAGTAAGCACAATGAAGCACTGTGATGTTGGTGCTCGTATTTACGTTCTGCCGCACCGCCTTTCTCTTGAAAACGATTCAACACAAGTCATGTTATTCTCTCTGAATGAAGTTTACCTATTTTTGCCGAATTTTTATTTCAGTAGTTAAATTTCGATTTAAAGCTTTCGTGACTGCAGGGATTCATCTTCTTGGTTCTTTCGGTAAAGTCACGTAGAAGGGAAGTAATAAAATAATAAAAATAAAACATAATAAAATGAAATAATAATATATTATTTTATTATGTTTTATTTTTATTATTTTATTACTTCCCTTCTACGTGACTTTACCGAAAGAACCAAGAAGATTTATTTCAGCAGGTAAGGCCCACTGTGCTCTACAGCTCTTTTTCAGAATGTATATATGTATGTTGAACTTCTTTGTCACAGTACGTAGTCAACTGTGCTCATCGGAGGTGCGGGTGAAGGACAACAAACTAAGCGCAAAAAGCAACTAATTTCTTTTGAACTGCGCTTTGTGTTTTTGTCTTTGCCGTCCTTTTCCCCGCGTGTTCGCTAATAAGGTCCCAGCCGTACATTTTCAGGCGCTCAAACTTACGTACTACCCTCCAATGCATGGGCAAAACACTGAAAATTACTCGGCTCTGCATTCAGTCTTAATTAATGATCTAAATTGCTGCGTGTATATAA